TGACTAGTAGTCATCTATTGTCCTTCCTCGGACACAATTTGACTAGATTAATCTTAAGTTTTAAGATTATAAGTCAGTAACTGACTATAATTCAGCTCTGCACAAAATAGTCTCAGAAGTGAAACTCTAAACAAGAAGTTTTAGAGAAATATTTAATTGAAAAGACATTGTCAACTTTTCGTGTGAGTAATTTGTACTCCAGCAGTAGTACAAGACAACAAATTATGAGAAGCATCCTAAGGTGATTTTAGCACTTCTTGTGGCTAAGAAACATAACTAGTTGTTGATGAAGAATCAAAGTGCATGTTTGGTTGATTTTGCACAGGTGCCTGAAGCACATAATGTTACTTAGTTGAGTAACTTCATAAGGGGTTGTGGTCGAGATTATAACCAGTGTGGTATGAGTTTCGAGCTCAAAATAAGAAATAAAGTGATCAAGATATTCAAGGATGACCAAACTTATCGAGGCAAAATCTTAGCCAGAAGCAGATTTGCTAACAATGTGGGTCTGAAGGGCATTGATCCCTACGTGCCGCACACCAAAGCATTTGGTCATCGGAGAATGAACATCATCTTGATGATTCTAGCTAATTTGCCTGAAGCAAATATTGCGATAAATTGTGATAATGAAATGATAAGGTATTGATGAAGAAATGATTAGTGTCATGATAATGTTTAAGTAATTCATGAAAATATATTCATGGACAAAAAGGTTAGCTCATGCCTAAGGCATGACGTATCCGAGAAGTAAACTCATGCTTGAAGCATCCGAGAAGTTAGTTTATGCCTGAAGCATTCGAAAAGATAATTCATGGCCGCAATAACTTATTGCGTAACCGAGGAGTATATACACTCCAAATGTGTTTTTGAGTGCAAAGTTATTTTTGGAGGCAAATTATTATGAGTGCAAAGTGACTTTACTTTGCTGATTTTTCTTGCTAATTTTACTACTCGAATTGACTATTCAAAAAGTTTACCTCTCTAAGCTTACATCTCTAAGCTTACCTCTGTAATCTTGCTTCTCGATTTACTTCTTGAAATTTTACTTTCTGGAACTTTATTTTCCAGAGGAAGTTTACTTCTCAGATTTAATTCTCTTAGTTTGCATGCTTATTTATATATGGAAATTTTTCTCATGCATGCAACATAACTCTCGTATGCAATTGACTGGCTGCTAATTCAAAATTGAATTATTATTTGTTCCATAAATCTTATATCAATCCCGGAAGGATTGCTATTATCAACAAATTATGATAATCATCTTTTGACTAAATTTAAGATGTCAACATGACAAATCCCTCCCCGACTATGGCTTAGTGCAATTCTGTGTTGTTTAAGGAGTGGTATACTCTTTTATAAGAATGATCTTTGACTTATGCCATACATGATATGATTGATTTAGATGTTATTGGTTTGGAAGATGTCAACATGACAAATCCCTCTCCGACTATGGCTTAGTGCAATTCTGTGTTGTTTAAGGAGTGGTATACTCTTTTATAAGAATGATCTTTGACTTATGCCATACATGATATGATTGATTTAGATGTTATTGGTTTGGAAGATAGAATGGATCATATCATATCAATTTGCCTGAAGCAAACGAAGGACTAAATTATTTCATATTAGTTTGCCCGAAGCAAATGAGGGAATGAAATATATCATGTGAATTTGCACGAAGCAATTCCCAAACCAGTGAGTGAACTAATGTAAAGTTGAGGATAAGGATTTTTGGGAGATCTTGAAGATATGTTTTATTTGACAAGCTTCACAGCTTCCCTATGATTGTTGTGTACCCTTGTAATATCAATTGATATGTATGCTTTCATATCTGATTATATATTTTTTTCTTGTTGGGGACATCAATTTTATATGCTATTGTGGTTATCACAATCTGACCTACTGCATATCATAATTATTTCCCCTAGAACCTAGTACGTGGTATAAAACCAAACATTTCCCATCTGCGTTTTATTCACAGTGTGCAGTCTTTTTCCTATATCACCACCATAGCGTACCTTTGTGGGCATGTATATGTTGATTATAAACATCCGTCTGTTATTTAAATTCTTAGAGCCCATGATAAGGGATCAATATATAATTAGGTACGCCGACTGCACACTTTATGAAGATCATTTCACGGCATTAGGGGGAGATAAGATCTCAAATTTTATAGAATGCCGAGAAATTCTATGAATGATTGATCTTCAATATTTAAATCCACGTACTAGGTAGACTGAACTAGAAGTTCAGAAGAAGTAAACTGAACTAGAAGTTCAGTAGATAATTAATCTGCCAATATATATACTCATGAGTGACTAGGTCCTATATATTTTCCCCAACTTGGACCATATATATCTACCAATGCTCCTTGACGCCAGAAGCGTGGAGACATGTTGGTACAATCCGCGGAAAGCTAAATCTAGTAGAAAATGGAATCACTCTTGAAATCGCTTAAAGAAGTATGTCCTGCAGATATTCGTCCAGAAGACATTCGTCCGGAAGGCGAAAAATCCCAGTAAAATTATAGGTGCACCCAAAATCATAATACTGGGGATGCGGAACGACCAGATAAAAATATCTTTGGGAAATGGCTAGAGTCTGGTTGAATTAGAAATTGTCATTATTTTATATATATGGGAGAAATTTATGAAAAATGTTATAGTTGTCGACAACACAATTGCCTTATAAATTGCTCTTAGTATATGAGAATCTGGATCCAGTGCTAGGCACCAGTAGTGTCTTGATTTTTTAATGTATAAAAGAGCAATTAAGGCATGTATAGCTCAGCTCGCTAAAACTGTATTCTCTTTATAACACGTACACCATTTAATGTTAACCCTGTAGGTTACAAATGGGTGTTTGTACGAAAGAGAAATACAAACAATATGGTGGTATGATATAAAGCGAGACTGGTAGCTTAAGGGTTTACGCAGAGACCCTGAATTGATTTTGATCAAATATTCTCTCCCACAACATATGACATTACGTTCCGCAAATTAACATTATTGGCAGTGAATTATAAATTTAAATATGCAGTTGATGAACGTCATGACCGCAAACTTATGGGTCATTAGACGCTAATATTTATTTGTAAATCCCTGATGGATTGAACACTTCTGAAATAAGGAAAGTGAAAATCGCAACGTGTACCATTAAACTACCAAGTCTTTGTATGACTTGAATATTATTGACTGAGTGTTTTCCTCCCGAAGAAGGAATATGCAAATAATATGTACCATTATGTGTTCGTTAATGAATTGCTAATGGAGTTATTTATTTATCACCTCAGATCAGTCGATATTGATGTTTTAAATATCAATGAAACACATAGAGAGCTTGGTGATATCAGCTCATGCCGAAAGATGGAGTTTTGAAATAAAAGACTTGGGAAACCCAAGTATTGTCTCGACGTGAAGATCGAGCTTTTCTTTGAAGATGTTTTATACACCAGTCAGCCTACTTGAAAAATGTCTTGAAGATGTTTTATATGGATAAGTATTATTTACTTATCACACTAACGGTTGTCCAATAATCTCTTGAAATAGATAAAGGACAATTTAGACTCGAAGGTTATAATGAGGATATTTAGGGACTGGAAGTCCATTACTTCATTGCTATTGGAGCACTATTATTGAACTAGAAGTTCCATAATCGCATCAGGCCTGATATTGAATTTGCGATGAAATTGCTAGCAAGATTTAGTGCTTCTCCCTACAATGAAAATTGGAATGGTATTTAACATATCCTCCAACACCTTCGAGGTACAAAGATTTTGACGTTTATGTGAGAAACCAATATGTGGTTTTGATGGGCAACTTGGGCATTAGCTCTTTTATTTTATCCCTATGATGTCAAGTTCAAAACTGGTTATGTTATATTTTTACCCCCAATGTCCCATATGAGGACAAATAAGATTGTGTTGCACAAGCAAGTAATAGTTTTGTTAAGGGGAACCTTACAAAACATGTTGCACCTAAATCCTTCTATACACATGAACTCTAGAAGAGTTGTAAAATTCTTATTGAGAATGTTTTCCCCACTGAACAATCTTGCAGATATGTTCACTAAGTCTCTGCCTACATCCATTTTTGAGTAATATGTTCATAAAATTGGGATGCGTGGGCTTAGAAGATTGTTATCTTCAGGGGGAGCAACAACGCCTAGCTGTGCTAGAATGGACAATCTAGATGACTTTTGATATCCTGAATATTATGCTACGAAAGCATATGGTTGTACTCTTTTTCCCTTAGCTAAGTTTTTCCCACAGGGTTTTCTTAAGCTAAGGTTTTTAATGAGGCAACCGATGTTGGTGCACTTGAGTGGATAGTCCTGAAGACTCTTGAAATCTTGAAGATTATGCCCAGAAGGCTTATGTTTGTACTCTTTTCCTTGGCTAAGTTTTTTCCCACTGGATTTTCTTAGGCTAAGGTTTTTAATGAGGCAACCGGTGCAACACATGGATCAACATACTTCGTGTACTCTTTTCCTCGTCTAGGTTTTTCCCACTGGGTTTTTCTAGCGAGGTTTTTAACGAGGCATGAGTATAGTTTGATAATGGCCAAGGGGGAGTGTTATAAATATTATTATTATTATGGTCATTATCACAAGACCTTTCATTTGCCTTATATTTATTCCATTATTTATGTTATAGAAAATGAAGGGTTATATGGATGTATATATATATACATGTTCAAGGCATAATGAAAGAGAGAACTTGTGTTCTTGAGTTCTACATTCTTGTGTTATATTTTTCTCTCTACTCTTCCATTCCATATTGCAATATTCTTCATACATACAATCGATGCGTTACCGTACAATTATTACGCGAGAACTAACAAGTTGATAGGCCAAATTACAACATATATAATATATACCTATTTTATTTTTCAAATATTGTGTTTTTTTTTTTTAATAATATAAAGGATGTTGTGACATTAATTGTAAATCATATAACTTTATTATAGTTAAGATTGGAAAAGAAAAAAAAAAATCAATACAAATTTTCAGTGACCGGCTGTCAAATTGGGAAGGGGTAATATGTCTAAAGAGGAAGCAGCGCAATATTTTGTGTTTCAGAAAGGAGGAAGGAGAAGCAGAAGCAGAAGCTTGTAAAGTTGTAAGAGGAAGAGTTCCTTTGAGGTATTTGAGAAGAAAGATGGATCCAGACGCGGCTTTACAGTTGGTGAAGGAGGGCGCTACACTGCTCCTACTCGACGTTCCTCAGTCCACACTCATAGGCATTGACACTCAGGTAAGTTTCAAGATAACTAAACTACCGCTTTTGCTTTTAATTATGTCCCGTCTTCTGCTAAATGTTGCTTCGTGATTTGTATTCCGAGTTGTTGTTGTGATTTTGCTGGTGTTTGTAGATGTTTTCTTCGGGGCCTAACTTCAAGGGTATCAAAATGATTCCTCCTGGAGTTCATTTCGTTTATTATAGCTCATCTAACAGGTTTGCACTATGAATTTTTTTACTCTTCGTGTTGCACACTCTCTTTTAATGCCTTAAGATCATTGCTGTCATGTTCTTAGTATATTCAGCCCTAATAAGAATCGCTACTATTGATTCCATTTTGTATTCGTACATAGCTAGGGTAGAAGAGAGGAAAAGAAAGTAAAACGTAGTTGGATTACACAAGCATAGCATTTCCCTAATTTGCAACAGGAAGTTTGTCTTTTTATCTGTTGTGACTGAGTTATTTGATTGGATGGACCAGTTTGGTATGCAGAAAAGAATTTGGTTTAAAAGTAGATGTAAATATTGGGCAGGAATGTAGGATTATATGGGAATTCAATGGAAATTTAAGCGAGTAAACTTCACTACCCTTAGCCTTACCATAATCTGATAGTAGTGGCACAACATAACATGCTACTTTTCTTTACGTGACAAGGCTGACTTATATTATATTATTATTATTATTTTTTTTTGGGGGGGGGGGGGTACATTGGGGTACAAGGGGAGGTGGGATTTGAATCAGTAAAGGGATGTAGCTTGCCCAAACCCCAGTATAATATTACTTTTTATTACCTCTGTAATTTGATTTCAAGGACAGTTGTAAAGATTTTGATTCCCTGTTTAACTGATTCTATTTGCTCCTGTTTTTCCCTGTCTGGAGAATCTTTGGATATTGGAAACAATTTATGCATTCTTTTTTTACTTCATGCAGGGAAGGCAATGCATTCTCACCAATCATTGGTTTCTTCATTGTTGCAGGCCATTCAGAGGTATAGAAACATTTTGCATTCTTATATATTTATGTTGTTTTTTGTACTTTTGTTCAGTAAAACTTTGAGCATTGCACTACTCATTCTTCTGTTTGGTTGACATTCTCATTTTTATAAATCTTCTTTTCCTTTTCTTTTATCTTATACTCCGTATTAAATTAAAAAGAAAAATCTTATATTAAATTATACGAACTTTACCTGTCTTATTGTCGGCTAACAGGTAATTGTTAGGAAATGGGATCAGAACGAGGAGAAATTTGTCAAATTGTCTGAAGAAGATGTAAGTCCTAAAGGGTCTTTTTCATGGTTCACTTTCTCCCCCGCCTCCCTGATGTTTCCTATGGATAATGCTGTTCTGATAGGATTATTGTGTTGCAATTTGCTGAACGGAGAGCCCTTGTGCTATACTTAGATGCAAAAATATTGAATTTTAATTTCTTAGACATATATATAGATAGAGAATAAGTTGTGTTTGCCCATGTATAAATCTTTTTGAAGCACTGAGCAATGAGAAGAAATCTGTAGTTCTCATTAATGATCATTTCTGAAATGCTGGGTGGTAGACTCCAAGAAAATTTACCTTAAACACAAACAAAAGAAGAGCATCCCACTTTCCCCACTCCCTCGCTCCTCTTCTTCCCCTCAAACACCAGTCTCGCTGTTTTGTTTAGTCTGCATCCCCCTGATTGGTTTTTAAAAGTTACTTTTTTGTTCAAGTCAGAGACTCAGAAAGCTGATTATAGTTGACAGCTCCTTCTACGTTACATTACTTTTCTTTTCTTTAATCTTAATGCAATAGATATTCAGGGGTTAGATCTTCAATTTTGAAGCTGCACAGCTATTGTTTTTTGTTTTCTGAAGGAAGAGAGATATGGTCAAGCTGTGAGGAGATTGGAGTTTGACAGACAACTAGGCCCTTATATGCTGAATCAATATGGAGATTGGAGACACCTGTCTAACTATATTACAAAGGCTATCATTGAACGCTTAGGTGAACCCTTGTCTAGTTGTCTTACATTTCATTTCTGCTCATTTCTTTGCTGCCTAATTTTGCTGGTTTCTGCTATTAGCAGAGCCTATAGGAGGAGAAATTTCTGTCTCATCTGAACCTGATAGCATCAGCAACATTCCTAAGACAACCATGGAAAAAGCTTTGGCTGAGCAGCTGAAGAATAGTAAATTTTCAAGGCCAGTTGAGAAGCCTGAAAGAAAAGGTTGTTACTTCACGCCAATTCCTCGTCTTATAAAACATAAGGGATTGTCCGGGCACGACCTTACAAACATGAACCTTGACAAGGTATTTTTCTTGTTTATTTTGTAATTACTTAAGATTACACTATGAACTTTTCATTCTGTGAGGGTATTTTTCATAGATACTGTATGTGCAGACACAGGTATTGGAGACCATTATAGCAAAGGAATATGGCGGAAATGAAAATTCCCTTCTGGGAGAATTGCAATTTTCCTTTATTGCATTTCTGGTATGGATAAAGCTGTACATTCTCCTGCTTCCCTGTTTTTATATGATTTCCTATCTGACTCTTGAACATTGAGCTTTCTTGCAGATGGGACAGTCACTTGAAGCATATTTACAGTGGAAGCTTATTGCCAGCCTTTTTCTTGGATGTACAGAGGCTGTAAGTAATGAAATGATTGCTAAATTTTTCCTATCGATCTAGTCACGCAGTGGCTTGAATATTGAATCCAACAGAAGCATTTGACATGATTGTAATATCTTTTGTATGCAAAATTGTAAACTTTGGAATGACTGCTGAGTGTAAGTCTAAAGATATAGATGATATTAGGTGGATACATTAATTTTAGATTTGTGAAATTGATATGAATCCTATATTCCTTGCAGCCTCTTCACACAAGGAGTCAGCTATTCACCAAGGTAACAGTTGAAGTTCATCTACATCTATAGGCATGCTTGTACTGCATGTTTTATGGGAATGAAAACTCCTATTGCTGCTTGAATGCAGCACTGGGTTAAAAAAAAAAATAGGAAGACAGTTGAGTACCAAGCTTACTTAACCTACTTTCAAATAGATAGGAATTGATAGTTCTTGAATGACTCTATAAAAATGCGAACTCAAATGTAAATTTCTGCATGGCTGTAATATGCTTCTCTTTTTTCTTTTTTTTTTTGGTCATGATTTGATTCTTTCCTCTGCATGGCCCCTTAGGTCTTAGGTGCATTTCTTAGGCTTTTACTTCTCTGCTAAATTCTACAAGTATTCTCTTTGCTTTAAACCATATGTATCTGTGAGTTGGTTTCTTCATATTTCACTGTTCGAAATTTTTTTGAGCTGTAAATACTTTTCCTTATAAAAACTAGAATCTATTTTTTATGAACAGTTTGTCCAAGTAATATATTATCAGTTGAAATTTGGATTTCAAAAGGACGATAAAAATGCCGATGTTGCAGAGAAAGGAGCCATGGCATTGTTGGATGAGTCTTGGTTATCTGATGACAGTTTCCTGCACATCCTTTGCAAGGTAATCTACCTGGATTTAGTAGTTGTCAATTATGCATAAGGTATTATGAAATAATAGATTGAAGCAGCATCTTCAAATCTCCTTTCCTTCCTGATAATTCATGATTTGTTTTGCAAATCAACTAACTATGTAGTAATGTTCCAGTTATTAGAAAGTAGGAAACACCCTAATTGCTTTACGCAAGCAGATTAATTGGTTAAACCATGTTGATAATTGCCAATGTCTGAATACTGACTGCTCTAAACATAGGCTTTGAGCTCATCTTTGACATTTGATAACTGTGTTGGTTTCAGGACTTCTTCTCACTGCTACTTGAGGCCCCTGTGATTGATGGTGACCTCCTATCATGGGTATGACTCTTGACCTTATTGTTTTCCCTTTTTCATCTCTGTTGGGCAGTCACACTAAATCAGTTCAGAGGATTTTTTTTCCCTCATTACTTTGTACATTGTTTAAATTCCAATAGATTGACCTTTTGAGAAGGTAGCATTTTCTTGTTCTTGAATTACACTTGTAACTTCCAGTGAGGTCAATTTCAAATGTTATTAGTTGATTCGTACGAGTATCAGATTGAGTGCTTGATGAAAGACCAACCCCTCCCCCTTGTTACAACAGACTAGAAAACTCAAAGATCTGCTCGAGGACTCTCTTGGTTGGGACTTTGAATCGAACAATGCAGCTGACGAATTAAATTTTGAAGATGATGAGGTATGTATGAATCTATGGTGGTTGAATAGACATACATCATCTTTGTTTCTGTAGACTCAATCTATATTCAACTGTTGCAGTATGCTCCAGTGGTAGAGATGATAGATGAACCAGGCCATAGCGGCATGGACACATCTTCAATCTAAACCCTAGCCAGAGGCAGACAATTATACCGAGGGCAAACTCATTTTGCGGACCAACTAACGTCAGTGTGCTTTGTATATTACTGCAAATAGTTGAAGGTATTACCATGATCAAATGGTGGAGTTTAATTTACAGGTCAGATATTGATAGAATTTTCTCACTGTAATATAATGTTGCCTAATCTACAGGAAAGCAACCTTTATGTGGCCTTGTTTTGGTTTTGCTTACTTTGTTTTTGTGGTCCACTTCAATCCATACTTGTTACATGTCACTGAATTGAAGCTTTGATAGTTTGATTCTTATTTTTAGATTCTCAAATTCCTTGAGTTGGGAGACCCGTACAGAATATGGTTTATATATTTGACTATTTGAGGGAGTGGTTCATGTCATGATGTCAAAATGTACGATTATAAACTATGGTTTGTAAACTCAGCATAGTATGATAGTAAGTAGACTATTAATGCAACCGTAAAATCGGAAGTACCACTTTTGTAAAGGATGTGCCATGTGACTAAGTAACTTCATGTGTATAGAATCGTGTATTAGACATTTCTTACTCTGATTCCATCATAATTCAAAGGGGTACTGTAAGTGTGTACTATCTACAGAAGATAGAAATCATATGCCCTAAAAGATTAGTGTTTAATATTAGAGGCATAATTAAAAGTTTCTTTCTTTGAGTAGCTTACTTCTCACACAGGTCCATGTTTACAACACTTCCCCCATATCGTGTTTACCTTCTGGTTGTTTCTTGAGAATACACTTTCATTTGCTTTTTCAAAAGCTCCTTTTCTCACTTCCGCCTCCAACCCCCCACCCCCACAACTTTTTTTCATATATCTGATAAATAATATATATATATATATATAAAATCTTTCAAAACTTTAATTGAAAACAAAAAAAAAAAAAAATGATTTTGTGGTATGATAATTTAGTACTCCGTATTTAACTTGATAATTATATCTGAAATTTGTTATAAATATATATTATGTGGACATTATGAACATTCAATACATAACGGATGTAACGGTTATGGCATTATTATCATCATTACCTTATGTTACATTTGTGTATATATATATATATATATATATATATATATAGATTTACATTCATATAGGAACCCATCCTTAGATAGAAACCTAGGAACTCATCTTAACCATTTATTTTGATTGATCAATGGTCTATATTTATAATAAATTTTAATAGGTTATTTTACGCAATTAAGAAAATTAAGGGCATTAGTGTCAGTTGTGTTCATTATGCATACATGTAATTCCGCATTTTTCTCCGTATAAACACACCACAATGGCGCAATCCTTCTCGAAGTGTAATACTGAAGCACTCCCAATTTGTTGATTTCCCCTCTCTAGTTCGTAGTTTTAGTGTTTGATGCGATGGACGACGAGAGGAATCCCAATCAGCGACATTTGTTGGTTGCTGAACAAGTTTCAAAAATGCAGATCGACATTTGTTTAGCTTTTGGTGAAATTCAGCCGCAAAATCAAATTTTACACCAATAGTTTTGATATTTACAATGCAATTGAGTCCAACCCTTTGTACTGAGCAGTAGCCATAATCCATACACTTCTTCTTTTTTCTTCCAGATGAAGCAAGTCAAAGTTGCGTTATAGCAAGCACTTTTGCGCACTCTTTTGCCAGGTTCATCAGTTTTTTTCAACATCATGGCACAAACTCCTTAACCCAAGTGCACACACAGTTCTATCTAAGTGCACACCAAAATGTTTAACGTCTTTTCATACAAAAACTAAGTCTGCAAATTATGGCATACACAGTGTAACCCAAGTGCACATAGTCACCCCAAGTGCACGCAATATGGCATACACGATACACTCATTCTCTACATTATGGCATAGACATTTTTAAGCAAGTGCACACAGAAGTGTAACATCATTCTGGTTTCCGTGGATTCAATCTATTAGAATTTTTGCACATAATGGCCCATATCAACCTAAGTGCACGTCAGTTCATGGTCACAATAATTCTACATATTATGGCACACTCAATTTTACCCATGTGCACAACACCATCCTTAACATCATCCTGGTTTACGCGGATTCAATCTATCAGTGTTTTTGCACATTATGGCACTTACAGTTAAAACTAAGAGTTGCAGTCTATTAGTAGTATTTTTGCACATTATTGAACTCACGGTTCAACCTAAGAGCTACATTGTATTAGTAGTATCAATCTGTCTTCCGCGATTACGTTATATTAGTAGTTTTGCACATTTAGGCACACACAATGCATTATGGCACACACAATGCAGTATGTCACACACTCATCCTCTACGTTATGGCATTGACATTTTTACGCAAGTGCACACAGAAGTGTATAAAAACATATATCATGGTTTTCGTGGATTTAATCTATTACAATTTTTGCATATAATGACACACACAGGTCAACCTAAGTGCACGCCAGTTAATGGTCACAATAATACTACAATTATGGCACACATGGTGTAACCCTCGTGCACACCAACTTCTTGTTCGCCTTTCTGTGCAGAAACTAATTATGCACAGTATGGCACACACGTGAAGCCAAACAACACTATAGTAAATAGATGGATACTATTTGAATGCCACTCAAATATTAACGTTAATATTATTTAAATATTATATAATTTAAGTTCCACTGCAAATCATACAAATGCTCGCAGATTCATAATCAATAAGACTTCTTTCTTATCTTGTCAGCCTAAAATCTTGGAAAGAATCCAATTATAATATTTGATTTTAATCTTGATAGTTGGACTAAATTACACTAATATCCTTTCTTATTAATTGTGTATAAAATGCACATAAAAATATTTAATTATGTAGACCATTGATTAAGCAAGTTTGAATGGATTAGATTAGTTCTTAGGTTACTACCTAACAAAGGGTTCTTACTTGAAGCCTCCCCTATATATATATATATATACATATATATATATATATATATATATATATATATATATATATATATATATATATATATATATATATATATATATATATATATATATATATATATATATATATATATTGTATCCAACTAAGAGAAACTACTAATAGCAGACGATTTTTCCTCTCTAGCGCCTAGTCTAGGGTTTCTCATTATTCTAGGGTTTTCCTAGGGTTCCGTCAATCTTCTACGGCAATTCTTGCGGGTTTTCTGGTTAATACACACGACAGGCGACGATTTTTATCTTCCGGCCTGTTAACAGAGAAGGATGGAGGCGACAGCAGTAGGCGGTGAGGTCGCTGGCTTGGTGGAGCAGTGGAACGAACTCGTTCTGGAGGAGGAAGAAGCTACGCTGGTTCCGGCCGATGAGGAGGAGGGTGAGGCAGAACAAGCCATAGAGGAGGACGAGACTTGGGTTTTGATCGGGCGTTTTCTGACGGAAAAGGCGATCAAAGTTGAATTCATGCGACAGGTGCTTGCTTCCGTTTGGCAACCGGTGCGTGGAGTTCAAATAACTGAGGTTCAGCCGAGATTGTTCATGTTCGTTTTCTATCATTATACAGATATACAGTATGTGTTGGAGGGTGGTCCTTGGGAATTCCAGAATCACACACTAGTATGTAAACAACTTCAGCCGGGCGTAGTGCCGACCGAGGTGTCTCTTGACACAGTGGAGTTGTGGGTCCAATGCTATGACATACCGTTTGGATATACAACGGACAAAATCCTAGAGCAGATCGGGAATTTTTTGGGGGTTTTCGTTAGACTGGATGATCGATACCTGGACAAAATCCTACAAAATCCTGGCTAACGTATTACCGAATAAGAGTTGCAATCCCGGTAGACAAACCGATTAAACGAAGAATGAGAATGATGAAACAGGATAGGACGTATTGTTGGATCAATTTCAGGTATGAAAGGCTGCACACTTTTTGTTTTTATTGTGGAATGATGGGGCATTCTTATAGGTTTTGTCTAAAAGCCCGGAATGCTACGGTGCCGGTGGAACAATTTCCGTACAATGATGAGTTGAGGGCGGGGGGTGTGCGTGGTCCGAGGGAGGTTGGGGATTCATGGTTGGTTCCATTGGGGGGTAAGCCGAAAGGGGATGTGGGTGTGGCGGTGGAAGGAGGAAGGAGGGGCGGGGTGGGTGTTGGCGAGTTAGAGAAGGAGAGGGGAGTGCACGAGACAGTGTACGCAGTGGCTAAGAGGAGGAGAGGGATGGATGGGGGTGAGAGCAGACATGAAGTGAATGAGGGAGTGGTGGTGGGGGAAGACGTTGCAATGACGGATGTTCAAAAAAACTTGATGATGGCGGGTGCTGCAGTGCAGACCCGCCCGACCCAATGAGTACTTTGAGTTGGAACTGCCGTGGCTTGGGTAATCCACGGACAGTTCGGGAGATTGAGGACATAGTGTCCCGTAAGAAACCCGATTTTGTATTTCTGATGGAGACCAAGGTTAACCGGGATCATGCTGAGCGACTCCGGATTAAGCTTGGGTTCGATGGTTTATTTAATGTTGATAATTCCGGATTGAGTGGAGGTTTGGCATTGTTGTGGAGGACAAATAATACAGCAAGATTATTATGTTATTCTGATAATTATGTAGACGTGGAGGTGAATATGCCCGGGTTTGAAAAATGGAGAATGATATGTTTCTACGGCTTTTCAAAGCGTCCGCAGAGAAGGGAGTCGTGGGACCTTATTCGTACGCTAGCGAACAAATCTGATCTACCGTGGGTTATGATAGGAGATTTTAATGATCTCTTATTTCAATATGAGAAATGGGGAGGTAATCCGCATCCTGATGCTTTATTACGGGGTTTTGGTGAGACTATTGAGGAGTGTGGATTGGCGCAGTTACCCATGACAGGATATCCTTTTACTTGGCAGAAGGGGAAGGGTACACCGAACTGGATAGAGGAGCGGTTGGATAAGGTTTTAGCCACACAGGGATGGAGGGATCTGGTGCCTGATGCTAGTGTGCATAATATATTGACCCGGAAGTCAGACCATTCTGCTCTTTTCCTTGGGATTCTCAATCTTCGGGAAAGGAGAGGTGGCCTAGGAAGGGGTTTTAGATTTGAGATGGCATGGTTGCATGATGAAGGATGTAGGGGTGTGGTAGAAAAAGCATGGGAGGAAGGAAGGGGTAGGGGGTTGCAGGAATGCGTCACGTTTTGTGGGGAACGGTTAACACGCTGGGGTGGAGACCGTTTTCACAAATTTGGGGAGAGAATACTGAACTTAAAAAAGGACCAGATGCGGCTTAGAGGGCGTATGGATCCGAGATCTCTAGCTGAATTTCAAAAGATAGAGGACAATCTGACTAGTATTGAGTTGCAGGAGGATACGTATTGGAGGCAGAGGGCCAAGCAGCATTGGCTCAAGAACGCAGATGCGA